CTCCATCCTTACAAAACCAGGTCACCTGCTAAAGCATCCAGGGCATAGTCAAAGTGGAGCCCTGAGCCTGCTGCTGGTGCTGTGTGCCTGGGCAGGCCAGGTGGCCACAATGCCTCCATTTTATTTTTTGAGAAATGGAGGAGACAATGTGTGTTCTAGCCTCATTCCAAGGTTACATAACAGGAACATCCTGATGCTTGGCAGTGTTCAGCGGACGTAAGGGGTGGTCAGAGACCTCTGCTTTCTCTCAGTGGTGTCTAGTCAAGAATCTCTTTACATTTATTTATTCCACTGAGCAGTGCGTGTGCCGCAGTGTACAAGTAGAGAGAGGTCAGAGGTCAACCTTCTGGCGTCATTTCCCTCCTTCTACCATGTGGGCTCTGGCACCTCAACTCTTCATTCTTACTGTTAGCATTCTGTCTAAGCTCCACCCTCACAGTTACCTGGCAACAGGCAGGTATGCCTGCCCTCTGTAAAAGGGCCCGCTTGCCCCCTCCTCTCTCCCTTGCTCTCTTGCTCTCTCTCTCTCTCTCTCAATCTCTTGTTCCCTGTGTCCCCTCGCCCCTTCCTTCTTCCCTTTTCCCTTTCTCCACGTGGTCATGGCTGGCCTCTCTCTCTCTCTCTCTCTCTCTCTCTCTCTCTCTCTCTCTCTCTGTCCATCTCTAGCTCTCTGCCTCTCTCTACCTCTACTACCCTCTTAACTCCCCTCCCCATGCCCTGAATAAACTCTATTCTATACTATACGGTCGTGTGGCTGGGCCCTCAGGGGGAAGAGATGCCTCGGCATGGGCTCCCCTGAGACGTCCTCTTCCCCCATACCTCACCACACACCCATAGAACATATTCTATATCTCTTTATCTTTTTATAAATACATCGCTTACCAGCAGACACCCTTACTTGCTGAGCTGTCTCACTAACCCCAAGGAGTAGATCCCTAAGACCAAGACCATCCATCACCCTGTCCACTGTGCTGGCCAGGAGCGTGAAGTGTAGGAGGTTAAACAAATAACTTCCCACACCACACGGTTGAGATGTGGGAGAAGCAGGATTTGAACTCAGGCCTCCAGAGTCAGATTTCTAACCACCATACTCTGTAAATAGGAAGCAGGATTTTGGATACCATCAGCCTCTGGCCGCCTATACAGTGCTGAGAAGGAGCCTTCCAGGGCCACTATCTGATTTCCAAAACTGACTATCCCTGTTTTCTATTGGGGCCCTGGTAACAGCATAGGAGAACAAAGGTCTGGGAGGAACTAGCCTTGGAGGACCCTTGATGACTCTAGTTCTGTGGCTCCTCCCTCCCCCAACTACCCAGCCTCGCACAGGAGCAGAAGCCCTGCCCCACACACTCTCAGCCTTACAGGGGACCAAGAAGATGCAGCTCAGAGAAAGTAGCCTCAGTCTAGGACCCAGACCTGCCTACTGCCAGGCTGCCTGTCACTATTCACTCTGCAGATATGGAGTGGAAGGAAGATCCCACCTGCCAAACCCCTCCCACCCAAGTCAGGAGGACGGCTGCCTATAGACAGCAGTGGAGAAACGCTGAAAGGAAGGAGGGAAGGCCCAGACTGAGACAAAGATGAGGAGCCCAGGGCCTGGGGAGATAGCTCAGTGGGTAAGCATCTGTACTGCTCTTCCCAGGAGCCCAGTTCCATTCCAAGCACCCACCCTGGATGACTCACAATCTCCTGCAACTTCAGCTCCAGAAGGACCAGTCAGCTCTGGCCTCTGCAGGTACCTGCACTCATATGTAGATGAGAAACATTGGACCACAGTCTCAGGGTGACAGAGGCTGAGATGACAGGGCACAGGTGGGATGGAAGGGGAGCAAGAGCAGAGGTCAAGGTGGAGGAGGTGAGTCCATGGCAGCAGGTGAGGTGGAAGGTGGGAGCCAAGGAAAGGCACAGGATGCTGGGAGATTCAAACCACAAGGGGTATCATTGCACTACAGCATCAGCTGGGATCAGTGGCGGGAGAGGCTGCAAGTCAAAGAGATGGAGAAGAACAAATGCAGCCCTGGGAAGCCTAAACAGGGGTGGGGAGGGGGGTGGGGAGGGGGGACAGCTGATGGAGCAAATCAGCTGCCATGTCCAGCCCTTGCCAGGCAGATAAACCAGCCCCTGGAGTTCCACACCTCACACATTCATCTTTACAGGAAGTGAAACACACACACACACACACACCCCAGAAACAGAGAGAAGAAAAGTGAAATCCTGATCAAGCACACAGAATGGGCTCTGAGCAGGAGAAAGGCTGGGGATTCAAACCTCCTTGGATGCACCTGGGAGGGCTTCCTGGAGGAGGCAGGGACAGAGAGAAGGATGATGAGGGAGCAGCAGCTGGAGCTTCAGGTCAAGGAGTGCCAGGGGTTAGGTGGGGTAGTAGACCTAGGGGGAGAAGGGACAAAGGCAGCTCCCCATGACTCTGTTTTTGCCTCAGTCTGAGGGACAGCAGAGAGCCGCTGGAAGATTTCATAAAGCACAGATCAATGTGCATGAGCAGAAGTGGAGGAACTTCTAGAGGACAGATGGTGGATGCCAGAGGCAGGCATCCAAGGCCTAGAGAAGGAAAAGAAAAAGCTGAGCTCGAGGGAAGATGGAGAGGAGGGGCAAAGCTGGCTGCTGCTGCTGACCAGCAAGAGCTGGAAGGCTGAGTAGCCAAGGGTGGCTAGAAGGTGGCATGATGGGGCCGGGGCCAGAGGACAGTGGAACACTTCCCTCTCTCTGGTTCCTTCCCTAGGTCACTCTGTCTCTGTCTGTCTGTCTGTCTCCCACCACCACCCTTTTTGGTTTCTGGCTCCTTGCTATATTACAGCCTCTGTCTTTAGTACCCAGGGGATACCCACTTCTGTGGGTCTTCCCTGGGAAACTGGAGTCTCCTGCAGGCCAGGAACAAGCCTTCCTCCCTCCATATGGAGGCACCCAAAACAGGGCTGGCCAAGGCTGGGCAGTATCTTTGGCCTTTGAAGCCTCTTGTCTAGAGGACCTGATGCTTTTGCTCGTGGAAAAAGACCCAAGGAAGATGGCTACTGGGGCCGATGCTAAAGCTGCCGGTGGAAGCCATCTTGGGGTAGCCAGAAGCTACCCAGAATCCCCTAGATGTGTGTGCCTTGGAGAGAGAAAGGGGGGCGGGGTAGTCAGAGCTTATATATAAAAAAAGGTAAGTAGACAGAAGTCACAACACAGTGTGACATCAGAACATCTGCTGCGTAGAGATGCCATTTGAGTGGGGCTTTGGAGGACAAGTATGAGTTTTGTCACGCTAAGAACAAGGAAGAAAGGTATTGGAGGTTAGCGGGAAAGCATTGGAACATGTACACTTCTAAAAGACACTGTAGCTGATCATGGGTACTCCTCTTTGCCACGTTGATTTGTAACATACAGCCCAGGCTAGCCTATGTTTGATTTTACATGTAGCTCAAGACATGATCCACAGAGCTCAGAGTAGAGCTACACAACACCTCTACAGGTAAGAAATAGGAACTCTGTACCTCAGTCTAGGGCATGCCCTGAAACGGAGGGTCCTAGGCTCCCAGCCCAAATGCACAGCTGCATCTACTCCCCCTAGAGACCTAGTAAGATGCTGCAAGGCCCCTGGGGACTGACAGATGCTTATACCCCTCCCAAGATGCAGAAGAGGCTCAAAGGTGACAACAGCTGTGGAGGAACTCTGTGGCTCACAGACACAAGTCCTGGCTCTGTCACTGTGTCAGACCAGTGTTCACCCCCCCAACCCCCAAATTTACTCACTCTTAGGGCTGCCAAAACAACAACAACAACAAAACTGAAGCAAAACAAAAAAAAACTGTAAATAAAAATATCGGGGTCTATGCCAAAGCACTTTATAGTAGTTGTCACTGTGTGATTGTAGTACTGTTCTAGAAATACAGTTGCAGGATAGAGCAAGCATTCTACCTCCCTGTTCCTGCACCTTCCTCCGGGCAGATGCTCATATGTGGCCTGTGTCTGGTTGATCCTCTGTAATGCACTTTAGAAACTCTGAGAGCAGGTGGTACACTTCAGAACCGCCGGGGAGAGAGAGATGCCTCAGTACCTCATTCCCTTCTCCTTTCTCCGTGGCTGCAGCATCTCCTTATCTGTCCAAACCGGTTTTGCCCAGGTACTCGTGACCATATTCAGGCAATTGTACTTCAAATTCCTGCAGCCGCTATGGGGTGCGGGTGACCTGGCTGGGATTTGCCCAGCACACCTGCACCTGTCATCTCCCCAGTGATCTGGATACTCTTGAGGAGGGTCGGTCCTGTCTCTCTTATAGAGAGCTCCCCCTGAATCCCTATAACTATAGAACGCAGGGTCTGCAAAAGGGGCCTCTAAGAAGCTTGCCACCAAGCCGAGAGTCTCTGGGCGAGTCTGGCAAGCCAAGAGCCAACTGGGCCCTACGCCCCTGTCCAAGTATTTTCCTCTCAGGTCCTGCCACTTCCTATGAAACACGGACCACGTTGGCCTTAGGCGAGCGCATCTCTGAGATGCAAAGGAGTGCATCCAGGAGCCCTCCTGGCCACCCCAACTCGTGTGGCAGCTGCGGGACCCGTAGCGTGTGGACTTTGGGAACCTCCAGGGGGCGACTAGCCCTGAGAAGGCACCTCCGGCCGCGCGCCGCGCCCGTCCAGCTTGTGACTTCACCGGGCGCTCGGAGCCAACGCGGCACGGAAAACCGGGTCCCCGCCCACCGCCCCGGCCGCAGGTGCCAGGATCCCGAGGGGGCCGCGCCTGGACCCGCCGGGCTGGGGACCGACAGGCGCCCGGACTGCGCTCCCGCCTCTGCCTCCGCCTCCTCTTTGTAGCGAGTCCCCGGTCGGTCCTCCCCGCCCCCCGCGCGGCCCCACCGCCCGCCTTTCTTCCTGCCTCGCCTTCCTGCAGAGCCGCGGCTTCATCTATTATAGATGCTCGGCCGCGGCTGACATCAGCTAGCGGCCTCCCGAGCGCGCGGTCCCCAGCCCGGCCCAGCCGCCCGCCGCTGCCCGCGCCCAGCCCCGCCGCCCGCTTTCTGTATGACTGTCACAAAGGTAAGCAGCGCAGATCGTCGCCACCCTGGGGACCCGCGGATGCTACAGCCCCTCAGGCAGGGACTGAGGGACGCAGGAAGGGGTCGCGCGCGCTCTAGTTCCCAGGAGTCGCTTGGCCCCCGGGGGACTACGGGATGCCGGGAGGGGATGTTCCTTCGCAGCTATCCTGGACGTTGTGGACCACATCTCCGTGCGCCCCGGAACTGCATTTTTAACCCTTGTGGAAGGTGCTGCAATTTTAACCCCTGGAGAGCTGCTTCGGGCTGGCTGGCGCACTGGGTGTCTTGTCCCTCAGTGTCACGCGCCGTAAGGACTGAGTTTCCCCATGCTGATGATGCAGCGATGGGCTGGCCATCCTAGTCAGACACACAAGTGAGCTGAACCCCACCTGCCTGTCTCTGCCATTTACCCTAGAAGACTGGACCCCACTCCAAAGCTACCCTGTAGAGGCGCTGCCGGATTTCTGAGTGGCTGCCAGAGACAGGGAAGGTTCTGCATCGGGGTGGGATGGGCAGGGAGTGTGACAGAGAAAAGAAGGTAGGCATCCTGGCAGACCCCAGGTTGGAAGAGGTTCTTGGACTTATCACGGGAGCCTGGGTTTGTTGAAGAACTTTTGGGGGATGTTTTCCCTGTCATAGGAAGGATGGGGTTAAGAGGAAAGCCCGTTGGGACAGTCGGATGAGCCCAGGGCCAAGGCAGAGTTTCTTTTTCTGCACTGGGAGAGTGATTAGATGGGCCTTGGTAGTGGTGAGAAAAACAAGTGAAGAGTGTGAACTGTACTCTGCCCAGGTTCTGTTGGAGTGTGGACCTCACACCCTGGCATTGGCCTTGGCCTTGGCTGTCTATACACCTCAGGCCAGACTTCATCTTTCCCAGATGCTCAGCTGGCTCTCAGAACTGGGGCCGTGTAAGCCAAGAAGGATAGGCAGCCTGCTGTGGTCAAAGCCAGACAGGAAAGGCTGGGGTGTCCATTCTAGATCCTTCTAATAAGCTCCATGCCCCAGTGGCACGCTTAATGCCCCAGTGGCACGCTTCATGCCCCAGTGGCATGCTCACTCCGGCTTGGACTTCACTTCAGACCTTGTCATTCATTGCCTTCAGTTCTGGGACTTGGGAGCATGGTGAGAATGTGGAACTGAGGGCTGGAGGTGTTGGGCCTGGGCCTGGGGTACTTTGTCAAGCAGCAGGGTGCTTAGTGTTATTAAATGAACACAAATGCAGTTAGACAGAGGTATTGTTATGGAGGTTGTAAAAGCCAAGGCTGCAGGCAGGTGGGGACTGAGGAGTAATCCGTAGGCCCAGGGTAGGGTCTTGAGTGTAAAGGCTGGAGATGACCTTGCAAGGATTGACCCCCCCCCCAACCTCTTCTGTCTGTGCACACAAGCTCATACAACTTTTCTCCCTTGAATGTAAAACTCTATTTAAGTGAGGAAGAAGCTGAGATTCAGAGAGGCGACTCCCCTAAGGTCACATAGCAAATATAGGTATGGCAGGATTAGGATTTAGCCTCAAGTCTGTCTCAGCCTCCAGCTTGAGATAGTGGTCTGTACGACTGAGTGTGGGGCCTCTACAGCAGAGGGCTACTGTCTGGAGGCCTAGGTCTGTGAGATCGTGGAAGTGGGACCCACTGAGCCCACTGTCAGATCTTGCCCTTAGGTACACAAGGGATTATTTTCTAACACTCAACACCTCCCTGCCCAGCCCCCGACAAACCCTTCCGTGAGTCTCTTGTCTCCCACTCAAACCAATGTGGCTTCAGCTTAAGCCGATCAGAGGATTAAATGAAATCCTCACGTTAACCCTGTCTTTTCTCTCTACATCAGGCCTATGTGGCATAACCCATTCCTGTAAGGCACAGGGAGTCCCTACTGAACAAGACTCTTCCATTGCCCTGAGAGTTAGAAGACATGGCCTCTAGTCCTAGGTTGGCCACTTACTGGCTGTATGACCTTGGACCAGTCATTTCCCTCCCTCAGGCTTTGGGCAGGAATAGTTCTAATGAGCTATGTCTTCTGCTCTAACAGGGTATACTTGGGACTGTCATTTGGGGGTGGTCCCATTACTCACAGACTAAAAGGGAGACCCCGACAAAGAATGTGGGAGATGGGGTCACTGTAGGGGAGAGAGTGACTAGCGACCATCCCCTGGTCATCCTGCTCCAGAGGAAGAGTCATGGTGTCCCTCTGTGTCCCCTGACAGAATCCTCTGGGCCAGTGCTTGGTGGAGGTCACAGGCTCTGAGCTCTCAGAGGGACTTGGCAAAACAGAAAAGACAAAAGCAGGCAGGAATTTGCTAGAGTATCAGCTGAGCTGAGTCCCAGTTTCCCACTGACTGCCCTGTCTTTCATCATTTCCCAACTCATTCCTCACAGGGAGCCACAGATGCCTAGGGAGCTGTGGAGGGGAGGGACATCTGCCCTAAGTGCCAACAACCACACAGCCATGCTGTGACTCTCTAGCCCGGTGACATATTAGGACACCTTTCTTATCATATGCATGCATCTCTGTTGAATGCGTTTTACCAAGCTACCCTAATTCCTTTATGGAAGGGGGGGATACATAAAAACTGGGTGCAGCTTCCCAGCCTGGAAGTACCTGGTCAAGGCCATGCCTCAGCCTCTTCTACAAAGCTAGCCCTCTAGGAGAGCCCAGAGGCTACTTCCTGGTGACAGGCACTCCAGACTGCTTTCATGCTCAGTTCTCATGCTTGCCCTTAGTCTATCGAGATCCAGTCCCTGACCATCTTGTGCTGGTGTTGCTCCACTACCTCCAACACCTGAACCGCCGGCAGGCACAGCACTGCGCAAAAGGACTCACAACTGTGTGCAAAGTACAAGCTCACGGTCTGGAAGAAAAGTCCGGATTGTATGGAGGCAGTTTGCTGATCTCTTGATTGAAATATGACTAGGGGTGGGGCTTGTGGGTCTAGGAAGAGGTCCCTTACACTGGCTGGGTTTGTCTGGTCTCCTTTATGCTGTGTTGAGTTAAAGCAGTGGTTCTCAACCTGTGGGCCGTGACCCCTTTGGAGTCTCAAATCTGATATTTAATTATGATTCCTAACGACAGCAAAATTCCAGTTATGAAGTAGCAACAGAAATGATTTTATGGCTGAGGATCACCACAACACGAGGAACTGTATTAAAGGAGTGCAGCTTTAGGAAGGTTGAGAAGCGCTGGGTGAGTTCGTGGGCTTTTCAGGCTCTGAGGCTGACTTGGAGATCACAATATACCTCAAGTGGCAGGAACCGGCTGAACATGAGGAGGACCTAGGGGTGAGTGTGTGAGTAGAGACGGCTGGCTATGGCAGCCACCTCCTATCTGAACAGTGACTCCAGGAAAGGGAGTGACGTTGTCACCATGTCTCTGTTGGTCAGCCTTCTGCCTCCTGCCTTAATCACAGCGTCAGTCTGCTTACAGGAGCACCTGGCACCCAGTGAAAGGGAAGGTGCTGTGGACAGCATGGCCTTGCCCAGGAAACGGTGTTTGGCAAAGATCAGACGCCTTCTGGGCATCGGGGGAGCCACCAGCAGAGAGCAGAATGTTAGCGATGTCAATCATCCTACACCTTTCCTTGAAAAATCCTGGGAACACGGGTCATGACCTGCTCCAGCCATTTGTCAGTGTGGAGCTGGAGAGCAGTCTCCTTCCTGGTGGAGTTACTCTTCAAAGGTACCTCAGGCAGCCTGGATGGTAGTGTCCAGCTGGATTCTAGTAACCCTCCATTCTCAGCTTTCCCTGTCTATGCTGCTGGGATCTGGATTCCCCTCTGCTGGAACATCTCCTCATCCAGTGAGTGAGTGAGTGTGTGTGTGTGTGTGTGTGCGCGTGGGCTTGCGCCTATGCCTATTCATGTGCACAAAGGCCAAAATAATGATGAAGTCTCACTGTCAGGATGGTGAAGGAGTTTAAACCCAGGCTAGCCTGGATCCCAACAGCTCATCCTTAGCTCCTCTCTTTCCTCTACCTCTGACTGGACAGGGAGTCACAAGCCTGGTCCTGTGGCCCTGAACTGCCAGAGGAAGCTCAGCTCACCAACCCCTCGTGCCTCCTCTTACCTCTCGTCCTGCTTCCTGGTACTCTGGTGCAGGAAGGGATGTATCTCAACCATTCAGCATTCATTCACTCAGCCCTCATCCTGGGAATACCTACCTAGATCAGCCCATGGCTAGTTACCAGGGACATAGACTATACAAGACACGGTCCATGCCCTCCAGGACCTCAGAAGAACAGGAATGGAAGAGATGAGACAGAGTTCCAAGTTAGACCTCAAGGCTGTGCAAGTGGCAGTCAGGAGCAGTCAGTCCTGCATGCTGTAAGCACTCAATAGAAACAGACTCCTTCCTTCCTTCTGTCTTCCTTCCCATCTCTGCTACAGGGTAGTAAAGCTCATTTTCTAGAAAAGTCATTAGTCCTTTGTTACTGCTAGGCCCAGAGGCCCTGTGTTTTCTAATGGGAGACCCTCACCCCTTGGCACCCGTGATCACTCTTAGAATCATCTGGGAAGGACTGTGAAGTAGGGCAGAGCTTGCCAGTTAGGAGCGCAGCTGCTGGCAGGACCCCTGGCCTGGCAGCCTCGGGCCTGGAGACTCAGGGATGGAGTGAGTTTTTCCACAACTTTTGGACAGACCCGGCAGACTGGAGCAGACACACAGCCCCAGCCAGCACCGCTGGAGCCACAACTGCCAGCAGAGTCTCGGCTCCTGGCACAAGGGCAGCCAGTGACTGATTTGCATCTGCGTGGCCCACAGAGCTGTTAAGCTGTCCAGAAGATGAGGCAATGTGTGGACTCCCTGTGTGCCCAGCCCTGCTCCTTCCCCCTTCTGTAGAGTAGCTACACTGCCCTGAGCTTACTAGGTGGCCTCTGGGGACCCAGGCCCCAGCTCCAGAGCAGCCTGCAGCCAGGGCAGCTGGGAGGAGCTGGCACAGGGCAGGCAAGCTTTGCCAGGGCAGGGCAGATGCAAAGCCAGTGGCTGCCACATGAGAAGGAGCCGTTTAGAATGA